CACATTGACTTCTGAGGAAATTTTCGATGGCACTCATCATCGGAAAGGTTGCCGACTCCTGGGCTACACCATTCAAATTAAAAAGATTCATGTCGGGGTCTCCAAGGCCAAAATATCGGCAGAGGACCCCTACAAAGGTTCCATTAACAAATACAACACTTCATCAAAATAGCAGATCAATTGGATCCCTCAAGATTGCCACTTTTTCTTCCAATATCACTAAACAAACCGGTGGCCACACACTTCTGAGACGAGTGGCCAAAATTGGAGCTGCAGGAGCTGCAAATGAAGTTCCACACAAAACTTGAATGATGTTCAGCTTTTGCAGTCAGGTGTGGGAGAGCTGGAACTGAAAGGGAGCGACAGAGCATCTTTCTTTCAGAAAAAGGCCAAAAGCTCAGTGAACGTAACAGGATGCCTCTCATCACTTGCAATAGCATTTGCCTCGCTCCTAATTCGCTTCTGTACTCGCCAGCAGTTTGCTGTCTGGTGTTGCTATGTTTCTAACACTTTCCCTGGGTCTCAGAAGTGTTTCCAAACCAACAAATGATCCAAAAACTCAGAACAATTTCAATAAGAGCACAGGAACATTTTGTCTGCAGTCAAGGATAAAAGTGTTTTCTTTGTTGTGCCTCTGTGCTCAGACACTCAGTCCAGGACTCTCATTTCAGTCTGTAGTGAGCTACAACCCCAAGGTACATATATAAGGTTGCACACTGCAGTTCTCAATTAATGAAAGTGGGTGGATTGTTGCCTCCTAAAATCAGCAATTTCTTTAGTATTTGCAGTGTCTATTCATCTGTAGGTAGCGTTGTAAAATACTTTTAAGGCTTTAGAAAATGATTATCATCTCTCATCTGTCCGTCTCCATTTTACGAGTGCCTGTTGCACAAAGAGATATGCACAGTGAAATAAGAGCAGCAAAACAGCAGCAGAGACCTCGAAACGCGTTTATCTAAAGCAGATAAAGTGAATGAAAGCACCATCTTTAATCTTTGTTTGTTTAGAGGCCAACTGAAGAATCCTTTATTGTGTCTGTTGTGTCTATAAATGCTAGGATGGCGTCATACAGCTGCATTAATTTCTTAACTCTCCTTTTGCCAAGAAGAGTGAAGGTCCCCACTACATATCAGCTGAGCTTAAGGCCTCCTAACCTTGATCAGTACATGATGTCCCGAGCTCTTTAATCTGACCCAAGGCTACACTGCCAGCCGGTCTGAGGGTGGATGACTGATGGCATCAACTGATAATTCAATGACCAGCTACTCTGCGGTCTGTCCTTAGAGCATGCTGGAGGAGCTGGAGGATATCGGTCTGCGCGTGGACAACGTCAGGGATCAAGCTGTCATCCTGATGACCAGCAGGGGGCCCGCATGTCGAGATGTGGTGGAGCCCAAACTGGCTGAGCTTAACTGCAACTTTGACAAAGTCTCCCAGCACATAAAAACAGCCAAGGTATTTAAAAACAGAACAAAAGAGAGATTAATTACTGCCTTGATGCAGTGTGGAATTAAATCTCACTATATCCACAGAAGGTTACACTGTCAAATAGATGCAGTCTGTTCAGCCAGTCTGTTTCTTTTCTTTTTGGCAACACAGATGCTGACGAGTCTGGAGTCAGGCACTGCTGAGGTGAACCAGCAGGTAAAGAATCTATCCTTGGTATTAAATGCAAGGGTGAAACACACCATATCTTACCAGGAGATTTAATATCACAGGCAATAGGCTTATAATTAACTTTATGTAAGTTACAAATGCTGCTGCCAAGCGTTTTAAGACAGACACGGCCCTATTCCGTGTGTCTCTATGAATTGCAGCACAGCTGAACTCTCTTTAAGAAAGTGGTCAGATAATTAGATTGACGTGAGCAGCTCTGACTGTGTTGCCTGAGGTTTGTTGTTTGGTTTTTTCCCCCCATTTCCTTCTAATCAGGCCATTCACAGTCAGGAGATGCAAGTTGAAAGTCGGAGTCAGAGTCTCCCTGACCAGGCTGCAGTCCCAGGTGAAGTGAAGGACCTTCAGGCAGAGCTCCAGGACACACTGAAGGCTCTGCAGCAGCATCAGCATGACCCAGTAAACACCTTGGATGATGATAAGGTACAGAGAATTACCTTTCAGTTAGACTTTTTCTTTTAATATTATTAAATAAGGTCCATTTATTTAAAAGTAGCAGTACTGATTGTGATAGTAATGGTAATAGAAAAGTAGCTTCAACTACTGTACAGAGGAAAGAAGACTCCGTCTATTGCCTGGTCAAAGGTTTACCATGTCTGTCAGTTCTCAGGAGGAATTGGAGCACACAGAGTACTCACCCAGGTTATTCTGAAATTTCAGTGAAATGTTCTGAATATGCCAGGCTGCAGATTGTGTAATGTAAAGCTCTCACTTGATAAGATGAGGTTTGATTGGCTTAATAGTCCTGGAATTCAGTCTGACTTATCACAGTTTATGATGTTAAACAAACTGACTGATGGAAAAAAGACCAATCACAAGCAAGGTCACTGTGCCAGTCAGGGAGTTCTTGCTGTGTTTTAAACAGTATTTCCTGAGTGGTGTATACTTAGCTAAACAGGCAACATGTTGCTCAGGCTTCTAAAGAGGCAGAGTTTATGTCAGATGGTGGTATAAATGTTTTCTTCATGTTTATTGAATAGAAGATGCTTGATTTAAGATCCATCGAGGACTGTTGGGGGGAATAACTATTCGCATAACTTTTGAACTCTTGAATGCTCAGTTTGCCCTTTTACCCTGTGTCTCTCTGTACCAGATGGATGAGGAAAAAGCCAGTGTGGAGGACTTGCTGAGAAGAGGAGAAGAACTGCTGCAGCAAACTTCAGATGAGGGCCAGAGGGAGGAGCTGAGACTTCTGTTGCTTCGGCTGCAAAGTCAATACTCTGCTCACAGGGTGAGATGCATATCATGTGTCCTCTGTAGAGTTTTTCTTTTTCCTCTCCTAGAAAAACACGGGATATTCTTATATTGTGTTTTCTGCTGTGCGCCGATGCAGTACACTGAAAGTGTGTGTTTGTGTCTGCTTGTCTCAGGAGCTTAAGGTGCTGCAAATCAGGCGAGCCGAAGTCTCCGTGCAAACGTCGTCTCCTCACACCTTCAGAGAGGAGACAGCTGAGTTTACAGCTGAGGTGAGAGACGAATGCAAGCATACACATCTAAGAAAGGGGAGGAATAAATACTTTGGAGTCCTTGATGAGAAACTATAGGGAGGGCTTAATGCGTGTGCCTCATGATGCTGCAGCTCATTTACGAGTCAAGTTTAACATTCTTTGCTTAAAGTCGGTTGAGGTAGCAGCATCAGAACCAGTGAGACCAGCAAAGTGAATAGGAAGGCTAGCTCTAAGAGAATAATTCAGCTTAAACTGCCAACCATCATGGAGAGGGTGCTGCATCCCCTCTGTGACCTGATGATCATCCAGTAGAGGGCTAAAAGCAGGGAGTGTCAGCTGGCATCACATTTACACTGTTTTTCCTCTTTGTCAGAGAGTGCTGTAGTTTTTCAGTGGATTTGAGTTCTGTATTAGAGTTTGATTCTCATCTTTTAGTGTTTTTTTGCCCCTCTAGTTACATTAAGTGTAGTTGTTTCTGATTTGCTCTCATTTAGATCTGTACTATTATAATATCAGCTCTCAGTGTAGCCGAAGGTCTTCTTAGCTTCCTGTTTTCTTTTGTAATATCAATATTTTTTATTTAATTTACACTGTATTTCGTCTTTTATGGTTATTATACGCATTTATCCTTAAATAGTGTCATTATTCATCCACCCTCTTTCTTTTTGTGGTTCATTTAATTTGGTTGCTGTAACAACGAATAAGTACTTTAAATACCTAGTGTGCCACTTAATTCTTCTCATCTGTCTTGTAGGAGATGTCTGCAGTGGGGCGCAGCACTGCTCCTTCGCTGACTCCATCTGACTACCTTTTAGACATCAATAAAGTTCTTCTCGCCATGGCTGACAACGAGTTGCTGCTAAACTCCTCTGAGCTCAGCGGGGGCCTTTATGAAGACTTTTCTAGCCAGGAAGACACACTGAGAGTGAGCCATACCCAGCCTTTGAAATAAGTCTCTCTACTGTAGAAATCGTGGAGAAAGTTCTGGTTGTTTTTTTTTGTTTTTGTTTTTTTTGTTTTTTTTATAAATGTGGTTTGGTTTTGTGGAGCAGTCTTGAAAAAGTTTAACCAAATTAAAGAATAG